CATTTTCTTCCATCACATACACATTTTTCACAAATGTCATAACGCAATACATAAAAGAAAGACCACGACACCTAGTTTCGAGACTAAAAAATGTGGATTACACAAAACAAATCAGGATGAATGAGGATACATATTCCTTGGACATCAGTGTTCTTCCCTTTTCTTCAGTTTGTTTGTATTTTTGTTAACAAACATAATAATAAAAATGTTTATTGTGGTAAACGAAATAATAATTTCATCTAAGTAAGAGTATTTTCTCCTCGATTTGCAAAACATCCTTACGTGATAGGAAAAAAAATGAATATTATTTTCGAAATCTGCGTAGCTGAATTATGGAAAATCCGTTATTAAAACCAAAACAACTTTTATGAAATTTAAATTTGCAGGCCTGTGTTATTAACTGCATAAAATGGAAAAACTAGAAACTACTAAGAAAACTAAATAAAAATATGAAACATAATTTTGAAGCTTACATCATAAGTAATACATTTTCCACTTCTCATGATTAGAGCTCAATTATGTTATTATCTTAACTTAGAAATTTTGAATAATTTGTTGTGCTTATAGTTAGGAAAACATTCTTTCCATTATCTGTACTAGAGGATAAGTGCTTTTATGTTATATAGAAAGTAAGAGTTTATTAGTTAAAAGATTCGAATTCACTACTAAAAATGCACTGATTTTTACTTGATGGCTGGTTTGTGTCTTGCAGAGAATATTCTCCGGCTTCAGATCTAAGTGAACTACGTTGTTGTCGTGCATGTAACGAACACCATCACAAATTTGTCGCATAAACAAAATACAGTCTCTCTCAGTCAGCACAAAATCATCCGCTATTACTCGCTCAAAGAGTTCTCCACCAGAAATACTACAGAGTAAAAGAGAATTCCAAGAAATATATTCGTTTACATGGTGAATAATATGAACAACTTTGATACTTAGCAAAATATCTACAACTTTCCAAATTATGCACTGCTGCCATCTGTTGTTCGATCTTCTAAGCATAAAGCTGAGAGCATTAACGTTAGTAAAACTCATAACACGACTAACACGTATGTAACTTCCTTGATGTTTTTAGGCTAATCATATAAGCTATTAAAATGAAGATGATCCTTTTAATTATTGTGATAAACTTTAAACAAATTGTAAAATCCATTGTATTTTAATTTATATTATACCCTGTAATGGCATGATTACATTAAGTTAATAATAAGCTATAAACTATACGTTTGATTATTTCGTAATTTAAGGAGATGATGAATGAGGTATGAATAACAACAGATACAATAAAGTAAATAAGCATTATTCTGCTGAAATCAACTACTCAAAGGATTAAAATCCGATACAAAATATTTAATTTAATACACTACTTCTGTAAAATAGTTACTTATATACAGAAACATAATTTAAAAATGCAATAATCTCTGAAAGTTCAGGTTCACTTTTTTTTTTAAATCCATAAAAGGTTACTGAACTTGAAGTATGCACAAATTTTAGAACCTTGTCAATTGGTAGTGCTGAATTGATAATTCAGATCTTGACATTACGTAGAATCTCGGTGATGAGCAGAAAACTAAGATATTTTAGGAAGATTATAAGTATGAAATGTAAGGAACACTACTTATCCCAGTTGAATTAGACAGTAATAAATAGTTATCCTATTATTTTGTTGAGAGATAATCCAAGTTAAATAAGCACTTTAAAACTAGTTATCCAGTTAATTTCAGTGATAATCCAACTCGAAATACACTATAAAGTGTAGTTGGATTGAGTGACAATGCGAATTGAAACACACTAAGAAAAACAGTGGCACTGATAAACGAGTTTAAACAATTATAAAAATCAGCTGAACTGAGTGATATTTCAACTTTAAACCCGTTATGAAAAATAATATATATTTTAAGTGATTGTATCCTAGTTGCCATCTGATTCATACCATACATGCCCCACAGTGGCACAGCGGTATGTCTGCGGACTTAAACGCTAGAAACCGGGTTTCGATACCCGTGGTGGGCAGAGCACAGATAGCCCTTTGTGTAGCTTTGTGCTTAACTTCAAATAAACACAAAATAAAAACTATCCAACAAAAATTTTTATTCGCACATTTTAAATGTGACAAGATTATTCTCTTCAACGGAAATTTATGTACACACATTTTAAATGTAAAAACATTATTAAATGTAAGGAAAATTTATATACATAATATTCTAAATGTAACAGGATTATTCTATTGAATGGAAATTTGCGCACATATTTTAAATGTTAAAATATTATTCTATTTGAAAGAAATTTGAGTACACACGTTTGAAATGTGACGAGATTATTCTATCCAATGAAAACTTGTGTACACAGATTTTAAATGTAACAAGATCACTCTAAAGAAACGTGCTACTTCGTGTCTTTATACTGATTTGAGAGTTAAACAAATCTCTAACAAACACACACTATACTATGAGTAAATACGTATGGTCAATAATAAATGAACACCTATATAAAGATTATAACAATGTACTAACGTCAAATATCCCAAGGTATATATATCAGCGTTACTCTGTATGTGTTAGCTATGCAGTTTTCATGGAATTTCTAGCTCAGATATTAATTTCGTTGGAAAGTGTTAGAATTGGCTCATGATAAGATGCTCAGTGATCATCTTTTCCGTAAGTGTTCCTTGGTTTATCATGTTAAAAGTAAGTATAAAGTTTGGTCCGAAAGTCTTGAATCTATGACAGTAATGTGTTATTTCTGACAGACAACAGTGAAACTTCACAGATATATCTGTGACTAAGCAAACAATATATATTTACATCAATGTAGGATTTTTTGTATCACACTGTAAATTAAGGTCAGTGTCATTTCTGTAGCAGTAACACGTGGTAAATGTTTACTGGGCACATGTATCAAGTGACTTGGAACTAAGGAACTGCTCTAAGCTTCTCAGGTTTATATACTGTAATAGTATCATACAAGTTTTAGAATAACATTCCATGATTATTTATTGCTACTGATTAATACTTACTATTCCATGACTAATACTGTTTCTTTTGTGTTTTCATACGCAGCAGTTAGCTGAAGTAGCTTTGGATGACGTAACTTGTTCATGACGTAAATCTCTTCCCTCACCTTTTCCTTATCCTTTGACTTAACACAACGGACTATTTTCGCTGCGCGTTCTATTCCCGTTGATTTTTCTATGCATCGATAAACAGTTCCGAAGCGCCCTCTAGAGGAAAAGTCAGACTCCTTTAGACTACACACATATATATATACAGTTTCCATATAGGGTTCTATATTGAACTTACTGTAAGTTGAATTTAAAATAGTATATAGTTAGTGTGATATAAACTGTTCTATGGCAATGCTTATGAGCAATAATGAGATTCATGTTGTGTGATCCGCCAACCTGGAATATCCTGGCACTTTCTTACATGATGAAAGTTAAATCAATAACGCTACGAATTTACAGTATATGAAATATAAATCATATATATATTTATCTCGTTATATGCTTATAGCACTTGATGCTCAAACCAAGTACATATACACCTTTATGTGTTTATTAGTATATCAAATTCAAACCATACGTATATATATATATATCTTTATGTGTTTGTGATGCAAGAAATTCAAAACTTACGTGTATGCATAATGTTATGCACTTAGAGTAAATGAAATTCAAATTACACACATACACACATGCATATATATATATATATATATTATATGCCTACAGTACATAAAAGACCTAAATATCAGTAATATTATATGACTGTAGTACTATAATTGCTGTTATTTTTTCCATTTCTGTTCAGATTTTGATATTGTAGTGCAAAATTAACTTATTACAAAACTGGTAAATCGTGTAAAAATTGGAGTATAGTTTATCTTAAACAACGAGGTACTGTACATGAAACTTGCGTCTTTAGTGAATCTAAAAATCTTACTATTGTTAGAAACTAAACAGTGTCACGTGATGACATCTAGTCAGAATCTGGCCCATAGAAAGTTGTAAAACACTTTATCATGTGCATCCAATTACGAGGTGACATATTTATGTTAAGCAACAATTAAACACAACAGCTATAGAACATAAAACTTGTAAAACAAACACATGCAAGTAATGGTTCCGTTTATGAGAATCTTACTTTCCGACTTCTTCTTTCAGATCAAAATATTCATAAAATCCACAACCTTCTTCAATTTGAACTTCTGCATAATTCAGAGGTTTGAAATCTGTATAAAGAAGAAACAAAGTTCCCGCTTCAAAGATATGACGATTTCATTAGAAGATCGATAATTTTTGCATAATTAACCAAACAATAACTTAACTATTTCCACTCACATTCTGAGCATGAGCTTCAGCACTTCAATCTGGCGGCTGTAATTATATGATTTTTATCTGTTTCTATTTAGCTTTTAGGTTATACCCCTTTACGAGATGGAATTGTGGGGCGTTTTAGAACCAAAATATCAAATTGCGGGAGTTATTTTTTTAATCACAAAATGAAATATGTTCTCCAATGATGCTATTCAACATTGAATATGTTTTATTTAATTATTGAGGTAATTCTTTATTACATATATATACAGTATTTACTCAACGTATATAGTCTACACTTATCAAAATGTATTTTATTTTACAATACTGGATTTATGTAAATAAGTCTATTAAATTTATTTACCATACATAGTACGTTCAAAGCTTGGATTTTTAGATTCTATTTTGTGTGCTTTAATTTTTTTACAGATAAAATTGGCAATTCTTAATCCTATTCGGTACATTGCAACAAAGTATGTTATTCTGAAACCACAAATCATAGAAGTATGTACTTTACATTTACCATCCCTGTCATACTTTGTGCTTAGAAACACCACATAAAATATTTCATGAGTCTGCGAAATATCAAACCTTCTTCGTCTTCCATTTCTAGGTTTTCGGTAATAAATACGGGATCCGATTGTTTGCTGGGCTCACTCACGCCGTGCACATTTTCGGCGCAAACTCGAAAAGCGTAACGACGTTCTGAAAGTAGATCCCTGACAACATAGGAAGTGCTGTGACAAGCTGCTGTAATTCTACTCCACTTTTTATCCGGTAGAGTACACATCTCTACAATGTAGCCAGTAATGATACTGCCCCCATCAAAGGTAGACCCGTACCAGCTGAGAACTAACGAGTGACTGGTGACGTCAGAAACGTTGGGTTTACCTGCCGGAGGGTCAGGTGGACCTGAAATGTTATAGGGATTTATATTATTAGTATGTGCAAATAATTATTGAAATCGACAATAAAATATACAAGAACGTAATACTATAATAAAATACAAACTGTAAAAAAATATTAGATGCTTAAAATATTTTTCTTCAAGATATAATCTGAAAAATGCTAAGCCTATTTCGCGTTAGCGATCTGTATGTTAAATTTACATATACTGCTAGTCATGTAAAAAATGCTACAATTACAGTTGACAATTTATTTTCTACTGTAAATAATTTGTCTTGTCGAACTCTTCTCGAAAATTCGTAAAAAAATATACTTATGCTAGAAGAAATTTTAGAGCACATCGTACGTGCTCTGTTTTCGTCACCATTCACCTAGAACAGTAACTGGTATAAAATGACAAGTTTCGTTATTCTATACCACAACCATATTTCTCCCTAACCATGAGGTTCACCTTGAACAGTAACTGATGTAAAATGACAACTTTCCCCATTCTCCACAGGAACCATATTTCTCCTTACCCATGACGTTCACCTATGTTCTAGAACAATAACTGATGCAAAATGACAAGTTTCGCTATTCTATACCACAACCATATTTCTCCCTAACCATGAGGTTCACCTTGAACAGTAACTAATGTAAAATGACAACTTTCCCCATTCTGTAAAAAACAACAACACATATTTTTCCCTAACCATGAGGTTCACCTTGAACAGAACTGATGCAAAATGACAACTTTCCCCATTCTGCACAGAAACCATATTTCTCCTTACCCATGACGTTCACCTATGTTCTAGAACAATAACTGATGCCAAATGACAAGTTTCCCTATTCTCCACAGCAACCATATTTCTCCTTACCCATGACGTTCACCTATGTTCTAGAACAATACCTGATGCAAAATGACAATTTTCCCTATTCTCCACAGCAACCATATTTCCCCTTACCCATGACGTTCACCTAGGTCCTAGAACAATAATTGATGCAAGATGATAAGTTTCATTATTCTCCACAGCAACCATATTTTCCCTAACAATGAGGTTCACCTTGAACAGAACTGATGCAAAATGACAAGTTGCCCTATTCTCCACAGCAACCATATTTCTCCTTACCCATGACGTTCACCTATGTTCTAGAACAATACCTGATGCAAAATGACAACTTTCCCTATTCTCCACAGCAACCATATTTCCCCTTACCCATGACGTTCATCTAGGTCCTAGAACAATAAGTGGTGCAAAATGATAAGTTTCATTATTCTCCATAGCGACCATTTTTCCTAACCATGAAGTTCACCTTGAACAGAACTGATGCAAAATGACAAGTTTCACTCTTCTCCAAAGCAACAATATTTCTCCTTACCCATAATTCTCACCTTCAACAACAATCGATAAATAACCACAACTCCAACATTCTCTACAACAACCAGTTACTTCTAAGACCATGACACTCACCTTCAACAGCAACTGATGCAAAATGACAGTCTGATCCTCCACTGTTCTCCACAGCAACCACGTATTTTCCGCTGTCATCAGCAACCAAATCCTTAATGGTCACTACAGATAGTCCCTCGTGGTGTTCTATTGTCTTCCTTTCGTCAGTCTTTAGAATCTTACCCTGTATACAAGTCTGGTTAGCTTTGTCCAACTATACAGTCACTAATTTCATATGCCTTCCTGCTTATACACCTTACAATTATTAATAATAATAATAACCTATCTTTCCGAATGCTAATTACAAATAAAACAGTTCTAATATTATACTGTTATAATACCTGCTTCTATTCACACTGTACGAAAATTAAAAACAAAAAAGAACCAATTAGAAATAGATACATACACACAGAATGCCAGTTAATCACTACCAATAACCTGAAAACGTATACCTAACAATTTGTATGTGTGTTGGATGCAAAAATGTACAGCATCACAAACTTATAAAACGATTTTATCTTATGCTGTTTGTTTGTTTTTGTTTATGCACAAAGCTTCACAATAAACCATCGCTGTGCTAAACGAAGAAATCGAACCCCAAAATTGTTGTGATAAACTCTCAAGCTTACCGCTGAAATAGTTAAATCAACGCACACGCTAAAACGCGATATTAACTCATATCACCCGAGTGTATTTGTTTTTCATGCCAATCGTTAAAAGCTCTTTTTCTTATTCAGAAACTGAACTACATTATTTTTTCTTAGAATTTGATATCAACCAAAACATGTTGGCTAATAATGTTTTTCGTTTTCCTTTCGTTATTAACATACAGTTAGTTTTAAATATTCTTAATGGCCACCTGCAGGTGAAAAAAGTACTTTTAATTCCACGTTTTTGTTCTCTTACTCTCGATTTTCGTTAATGAATGAATGATATCTTGCCGCGTTTCCTGTAGATATTTTGATGTGGAGGTACATGCTGCATATTGTAAAAGGAGTCGTCGATATTTTGATGAAATGGATATATTTCTTGAAGTTTAATGGAAAGCTGCAAATATTTAAGTAAATGAAAGTCAGGTTTAGGTTTCCTAGTTGAGAATACAATGTTAGGCTTAGAGCAAGCTTTCGAAACTCACAGCCGCAAGGTTGTTCTTAATAAGCAGCAATGTGCAGAGGACATTAAAAGGGCAGGGGCTCATTAACAAGAAAAGGACACTTTTCAAGCATAGTAAGGCTTTTTCGTCGGAGAGTTAGAGGAGGCTATGGGGACTATGGGTTGTCTCTTGTAATGGTATACATAGGGTAAAATCCATAAGAAGCAAACAGATCCTTTTTCATTCCTATTCATTTGGTCGTATAAATATTTTTAATTTTATAACCTAAAACTAAACAGTGAACTGTTGCCTATTAACACTTGATATTCAAATTATTTTTTTTACTATAAAGACCTGCAAGCAAGATGTGGAATCATGTGTATCTTTTGGTATTTGTTGACATTTTTGATGACATAGAAAAAAGGGAATTCGTGGGGCATAAGGACAGGAACTTAAGCCCACACAGCACGTCACTGTTAATTAGTTTATGTTTAGTATTGGGCATCTGATTGTTTCAGATATAATTAATGCCCTACAACATGTTACATTTTAAGCATTTATCTTGCGATGATGTAAATAGACGTACTTAATAAATGCACTTAACTCTGTATTCTGTACAAACTGTTTGTATGATAAAAAACATCCATAATGATGCCCCAATAAGTGAATAATCTAGCAAGTTCATTAAAGTTTATATAAATATACAATTTCTTAATCTAGCCAAAATTAAGGAAAATTCTTAATCGACAAAATGCCATTCTTTATTTAAAATCAGTTATTCTAAAGGCTAGTAGAAAAATTCATTACCCCTTTTATCCACGTGACAGAAGGGGGTGGGGAGCCAACAAAATGAGCCCGTAAGGTAATTGTGTCTCCAACAAGTACTGCTACACTTTGGGGCCCCTTTAGAATTTGTGCAGGAGTTAGTCGTGGAAAAGCAGTTACTTTTGACCTGCCAGATCTGTTGACCGTTGGAGGGAAGCATTCTATTTCTTGATCTGCTTCAAAATTTCCATTAGCTTCCGCTGGAGGGCGTTGTCTGCAAAAATTAAATTGTGAAATGTTCGTTGACAGAGAGTGATCTGATAGCGATTAGAAAAGTTTTATATTTAATAACAGTCTCAAGAAATTAAAGTTTATCCACGTTTCACTGTTTAACTTGGTAGTCACCATTTTATAAGCAAACGCCAGTTAGAATCAAGGTTCTAGAAATTAACTGTAAAACTGAAGATTACTCAAGTTTTTTAAACTATGTAATTTATTGCATTCATTTCGATTTTGAAAAATACTTCAATAACAAAATAATTTGGTGCTATAATAGCATTTTAAGCTTTCAAGTTGCTATTTTAGTCACCAGAGGTTTCAAGTTCTCGTTTTGTCACAAAGATAATTTATGAAAATTTATATAGTATTACATGTTTTTAGGAATCACACATATTTATAATAAGTCTTCGTTAACTTGGTGTCTTTTTGAACTTGTCTGTGCACGATCAGTATTTAAGTATGTGTAAATAATGACGTCACTTCAAGAACCGGTATAGTTAGTTCGTAAATAAATAACATTTTACAGTGAATCTGATATTAAAAAAAAAAAAGAAAGACACAGGAGCTCTGGTGCCATATTTGGAAATGAATAGAACAAAACTTGTTGTCAACGATGTCGTCTGATATGTCACAAGTCTCAATGATTTCCACCCAAAGAACAAACAAACAAAAATACCGTCTTTATATCTAACATTACATATTACATCATAAGAGTAAAAAGTTAAGAATTCCCCCTTGATTGGGCGATAACATGATAAATTTTTAATGGTGTTTCATTAGAAAACGAACGACGTCATAGTTTTAGGATTTCCGAGCAGCTGACATTCTAGAAATTTTACAAGACATTCTCAGGCTCGTTACGTGAGACATTAGATAAGCTAAGAGATGTCAGTGCAATTACTCTAGTTTTTATGTACAGTAGTGACTAAAATCTTGTGTTTGCATGTGTTTCTACATGAGTTAGATTTTGGAATTCCAATTAAAGAAAAACAACATTCCAGTACTGTAAAATTAACCCTGGTTTTGAAAAAACAATGTTAGTGTTACGTACTTTTATCATGAAACATGAATAAACAATAGAACGATTAATCTCTTTAAATATACTTTACGCTGAGCGTTTTTACAATGTAATAAATTATACAGATCACATAATTGCTTATGATTTCAATTATGTTGAAAGTAGATTACTTTTTCCCTCTTGCTCTATGCTGTTTATTCATTTGATACTAAATTTTGTTCTATCTTATTGTATATCTGTTATATCTGATTAAGTTCCAATTTATTTATATTTAATTATTTTAGATTATACTTTACGATTTAACTTTAATCCATCCAAGATTAAAGGTGTGGTTAATGTTTTTGTGACGTAATTCACTCGAACTTGTATATCCCTCTTTCACGCTACACATATGTGTTTTCATATATTGTTTGTTAATATATATGTATATACATACCTACACATATAAATATACATACACACACACACATATATATACATAAATATATATACACTCATACATACATATACATATATATACACACACACATATATAAGCTCAACTAAAGAAACATTTTCCAACCTGATTCGCCCACTCTCCGTCCTGTACACAGCCGTTTTTATTAAAGCTTTCGAATCATTTCGTTTTGGAGGTTCCTTATATTGAGGGGCAACCGACTGTGATTTTTCACCAACGTCGTTCACTGGTTTCCTCTTATAAGATAAATTATATGAGGGTTTACGAACATGATTCTTATTCAGTGTAAAACTAAAATAACAATCGCAAAATAATCTTAATAATACATGGTTATTTAGGCTTCAGATTTCATGAAATATTAAAAAGAAAAGAATCAAAACTGTTTCAGAATTTCATTGAAAATATACATAATAGAGTACGAATATTGTTATTCTGTGGGCGATAACAGACATGATCAACAATATATCGCTGGTTATTTAATGCTTCACATCACCTGACCTTTTACATTTGGAAGTAGCTTTTGTGATACCTTTGTAGACGACCTCTGAAATTGAAGTTTCTTAATTACAGCTAACCAGAAGATACTTTAATAAACCACTAACTCCTGAACATGTTGTGTGATTTATTGTAATATGAAGTCACAATGAACTAATGTCACAATTAATTGAGATTTACAGACAAGTAGGTGCTGTATCAGTTCTCAGCTAGACAGGTAAGTGCTGTATCACTTCTCAGCCTAGACAGGTAAGTGCTGTATCAGTTCTCAGCCTAGACAGGTAGGTGCTGTTTCAGTTCTCGGCTAGACAGGTAGGTGCTGTTTCAGTTCTTAGCTCCATTAACGGAAGACAGTAAAGAGCGTAAACGTATGTCAATATTAGAAGCATATTAGCTGTACTAGGTGGATAAGAATACCAATATTATGAACAACTGGAACTACAGACTCAAGCAACATTAGCTACAATTAGTCCAACTAGCCTGGTAATATGAAATCATATCTGAGTGCCTGAGAACATTCGAAAACAATCTTTCAGAAATTGGAACTTTCAACCTGAGTGAACAGGTCAGACATGTCTATGGTTTAGGTATCGTGGTTCCTAATTTTCAATCATTGACCAGAGAAAGAGCAGTCAAGTAGTAGCACCCACAGTCACAGGGACTTTGTCTTTCTCTTCGAACCTAATAACCGAATTAACTGTCACTTTTATAACGCACCTAAAGCCGAAAGTGCGAAGCGTGTCCAGCGGCAACATGTATCGAACCTTGGACTCCTGAATCTGCTTACCATCACGTCACGGCTGGCCTCACTTATTTAGAATGAATTGACTTTTGGAGTGACAAAATTACCCAACTTCTAAGATATTTTGAACTACAAATATTTAATATGTTACTTTTCTAATGTAACAGCAACGAAGTACATTAAGAAATAAAAAACAATAACTGTAAGCTTCAAAATGTATACAAGAATTCAAGCAAACTACATTTAAGCGCCCCTGTATGTTCATAGATTATTTAGGGTTGTTGAATTACATTTGTTTTCACTATTCATAGGAATGTTTGATATGTTTTCACTATTTTTGAGAATGTTTGATTTGTTTTCACTATTCCTGAGAATGCTTAGTTTGTTTTCACTATTCCTGAGAATGCTTAATTTGTTTTCACTCTTCCTGGGAATGTTCGATTTGTTTTCACTATTCCTGATAAGTTTGATTTGTTTTTACTACTCCTGAATGTTTGATGTGTTTTTACTACTCCTGAATGTTTGATGTGTTTTCACTATTATTGAAATGTTTGATTTGTTTTTATTACTCCTGAATGTTTGATTTGTTTTTACTACTCCTGAATGTTTGATTTGTTTTTACTACTCTGAATGTTTGATTTGTTTACTCTATTACTGAGAACTTTTGATTTGTTTTTACTACTCCTGAATGTTTGATTTATTTTCACTATTCCTGAGAATGTTTGATTTGTTTTCACTATTTTTGAGAATGTTTGATTTGTTTTTACTACTCCTGAACGTTTGATTTGTTTTCACTATTCCCAATAATGTTTGATTTGATTTCACTATTCCTGAGAATGTTTGGTATGTTTGTTATAAGCTAGAGAACTGTCGTAATTTATGAATTTTCTGCTCACAGAATCTCTGAAATCCGCCTGTTGGTGGAAGTTCGAAAGAAAACATTTTAAAATTACAATGAGATATGAAATTCACCTAAAACAGGAATGCCCTTTTTCTATCGATATCCTAGCGATGATCTTATAAGCTTAATGCTAACGTGTATTAACGTGTGTCATAGACATTTCTGGTTTTAACACTTTTCGACCCTTCACAGTAATTGTTTATATATTAAAGTCGCTTTTCGCTGTAAAATAAATTTAAAAAGTTTAGTTTCATGGGGTAGTTTGATGGTTAAAACGTATGAAGATTGATGGAATCTAGCAGAATTTTTTTGAAATGCGCGTTTTTGAAAATTTACACAATTCATCAGTTGACACTGTTCTTAGTGAAGAATTAATGAACTCGGTTCCAGTACCAGCAACATCTACATAGAACATTTCGAAGATAAGGTCCTAAAAACAGCCACTTTAAAACTCAGGATTTGGGTCAAATATGTTGAGGATACGTTCGTAAAATGGCTACACACTCAGACAAGATTCCAGAATTCATGAACCACATGAACAGACAACATCCTGTGATACAATTCACGATGGAAACAGAAGAAGATAACAAACTCCTATTCCTACAAGTGATGGTTACAAAGACACATAACTTGTATACCACAGGAGTTTAAAGGAAACCCATAGATAAGTTGACTATACATCAAACCACCCCGACCGTGAGCTGCCTATTTTTCAGATTGAACACGATTTGTAAAACCAAAGATTTAACCCTCCTTGACAATGGATAACCTGAACTTTTGATAAATAAGATAAACAACAGGAATAAGTAGGAAAGAAGTTTTCCTATGCCAAAGATCTCTGGAAAGATACAGAGGGGATATAAACAGTATGAAATCAGTACTGTATTCAGGGGGCATAACACAATACGACTGCAGTTAGTACACACCTAAACAACATTTAGAACACTCTTTTTGAATGAGGACTCCAATAAATTGAAGGAACAAAATGACCAAGAAAAATTAGAATTCAGGAGCAAAATTGTCAGACATGATTCCGTATTACCACTATGTCTACAACAGCTCATTGTGGCAAAGGAAAAGACCATACAATATAATGGAATAACACAAAAATAATGAGATAAAATAATGAGGTAAAGGAAACCTTATTTCTACATCTAACTGATAACCATACTCAGTCAATTTAACATAGATGTCAGCAAAAACCTCTTGAAAACATTAAAATAGTTAATTGATTGAACTCCTTCCTAATGGGTGAGAATTTGCGCAAGTGGGATAGCACTCCAGCCTTTCTATCAACAAGACCCGGAACCGGATCCCTACACCTGCCACCAAAACACAACACAGTCCTTCTCAGAACCTCCCTAAATACGGTAGCAGAGGACTCGCAAGACAAGATATAAACTAGTGACTAATTAGCATCTAGTAAAAAGAAAAAACAGCTAAATAATGAGACTTAGGTGATCATATAAAATCAAAACGAAAGATCTATTTGTACGATCTGTTATGGCCTCAAAAGGTCGCTTATATTCCGAGCTAAGAACACAGCAGAATTTTGTATTCTGACTTAAACTGTCACACTTTATTAAGTATATAATTTGAACTCACTCATAAATAAACAAACAAATCATCCATATTGATTATACTCGTAATAATGGTTTGTTTGTTTGAAGTTAAGCACAAAGCTACACAATGGGCTATCTGTGCCCTGCCCACCACGGGTATCGAAACCCAGTTTCTAGCGTTATACGTCTGCAGACATAATGCTGTGCCACTGGGAGGCGTAATAATGGTTTGTTTGTTTGAAGTTAAGCACAAAGCTACACAATGGGCTATCTGTGCCCTGCCCACCACGGGTATCGAAACCCGGTTTCTAGCGTTGTACGTCCGCAGACATACCGCTGTGTCACTAGGGGAGGGCGTAATAATGAATCGTTCACGTAATTTCTTTTTGAAGTATGAATTTTGTATTAGGAAATGTTTATTAAAATCCGTCGTTGTTCTTTCAAACACTATGAAAGTAAAGATTTCTAAAAACGAAGTGTCGTTGTAAAGTAGACACAATGCATGTTAGCAACTAATATTTTACCGTATGGAAAGAGGAAAAAACATCATGTTAGTAAACATGAAACCATACAAAAGACAATAGTAAAGAAACGGTTTAAATAAAACCCAAGGTAAGATAGAGGAAATTTAAAAAAAATGTTGATGGTATAACATAAGTATTAACGCCAGAGATTCAAAAAACGAAATACAAATATTGTTAATTTTATACATTTGTTCATCTTAGCAATGAGTTTGACGTTTCTGAGTAATTTGTTTTCCTTCTCACAGGGTAATATCGGAATATGAGGAATATGTCTAAAATGGTGTTCCAATCATTTTATAATACGTAATTCTTAACATATCTGACAAACGAAAGGTTCTTTACATTAGAAGAACGGAGTTTTAGTGCTAACAAAATTGTCATGTCGTTCTAGCAGAACATGTTTTTACTGCTAGGGTAGCTGTCACATGCTATTTGTTTATGGTCTCTAATGTTTTAAAGCTGCTAAAAGAGCGTGTTTTTACAGCTCCGGTAACTACCAAGTGCTATTTGTTCGTGGTCCCTCACGTTTCAGAACTTTAACAGAACGTGTTTTTACTGCTAGGATAACTGTCAAGTGCTCTTTATTTATGGTCTTTTACGTTTCAGAACTGTAACAGAACGTGTTTTTACTGCTTGTGTAACTGTCACGTGCTATTTGTCTATGGTCTTTTACGTTTCAGAGCCTTAACAGAACGTGTTTTTACTGCTCGGTTAACTGTTAAGTGCTACTTGTTTATAGACCAACATTTCAAAACATCTTGCAAAACGTGATTTTACTGTTGGGTTAACTTTCAAGAGCTATTTATTCATGGTCTCTTATACATTTCAGAACTACTAGTAGTATATGGATATGGTATATTGTTCACATAACTAACAAGTTTTACTTGCTCGATTCGCAAGCTTTAAAACAACTTGTAGATCTACTGACAGACGGTATCTAATTTGTTTCTGTTCCAAGTACATTCTCTTTTGTGAGCTTCTAACAACAATCGAGTTCAGTCAACAACTACAATTTATCTGTTCCTTGTCTGTTTCGTTTAAGGAGCTTCTAATAGGGCCTACCTTGCGATTATAGTGCTCAGTTAACAACCATGTCTTAGTCTTCACGTGTTTGGTTTGATGAATTGTAACAGCATGTGGTTTTTTTACCGCTCAGTAAATGGCTAATTTTTGTGGGTTCTTCTTGTGTTTCATTTCATGAGCCCTTATACCATATAGTTTTACTGCTCAGTGAATGGCTAATTTATGTTAGTTCTTGTTATGTTTTATTTAATGAGATCTTATACCATATAGTTTTACTGCTCAGTGAATGGCTAATTTTTGTGGGTTCTTGTTGTGTTTTATTTCATGAGCCCTTATACCATATAGTTTTACTGCTCGATTAACGGCCGAGTTTAGGGTTTTTGATGTGTCTGGTTTCCTAAAATCTAATAGAATGTGTTATTTGTGTTTGCTTAATGGCTAAGTTAGTGGGTTTTTGCTTTCGTGAGGTCTATCGGCATGTGTTTTTATTTTTGGTTAACGGTCAAGTTTATTGGGTTTTTGGTGTGTTTGGTATCGTGAGGTCTACCAGCATGTGTTTTTATTGTTTGGTTAACGGTCAAGTTTATTGGGTTTTTGGTGTGTTTGGTATCGTGAGGTCTACCAGCATGTGTTTTTATTGTTTGGTTAACGGTCAAGTTTATTGGGTTTTTGGTGTGTTTGGTGTCGTGAGGTCTATTAGCATGTGTTTATATTGTTTAGTTAACGGTCAAGTTTATTGGTTTTTTGGTGTGATTGGTGTCGTGAGGTCTATTAGCATGTGTTTTTATTGTTTGGTTAACGGTCAAGTTTATTGGGTTTTTGGTGTGT